TTCAGAGCGATCTGACTTCATCAGGAAGGCATATGAGACAACGGAAGCAGATTCGTCTACAAGTTGATATGCATTAGGGCTGAGGCCATCAGCAAACTTTCATTCCAGCCTTGTTCAATAGATAGATGATGTATTATAGACTGTACACTTGAAATCTATATATTAATAATTTTACTAACTAATGTCATCCCAATCAATCTAATAAAAAAGCATTTCTGTCTATGCCTTTCTGCCATCCATTGTTACATGTCAGAAAATGTATACCAGTGCTAATCCATGGAAACTATTATCAGTAGGCATTTCTGATGCCAACACCAACAAACAAGCAAAAAAAAAAAAAACCCACACCAAAAAAAACCTACTGCACTGAAAGCATTTTTTAATTGTTGTTTTTTGGTATCTGCACTGAAAGCATTTTTTTATTGTCGTTTTTTGGTATCTGCACTGAAAGCATTTTTTAATTGTCGTTTTTTTGATATCTGCACTGAAAGCATTTTTTAATTGTCGTTTTTTGGTATCATGTGCCGTCTCAAATTATCTATGTCTCTTTTCACTTTCATTAAGTAATCATTGTGGTTGATTGTGCTTCATGATGAAACAAATAATTTACTCTTCAATAATCTGAATCTTCTAAGGTCAGTTACACACAAATAATCTTTAAGAGAATGTGCCTTTGTACTTTCTTTAGGAAAAAAAAGTCATTTGGTTTTTATTTTATTAAGTACAACTTTATCCCCTTAAAGCTATTTACAATGTAAAATAAACCATCTCCAAGTGAGGTAATACTCCAGGACCAGTAAGGATCTGGTGAGGTTGTTCTCATGAGTTCCATGATTTATAAAATTTTACAAATGTATGGTTTAAATTTAAAGCTGAAAGGGATCACAAGACCTGCTAATTATAAGCTTATAAAAGAAAACCTGGTCCTCTGTGTCCAAGGAAAGATGAAATGTTGATTAGGTTTCACCTTTGAAATGAGAGCTAAATCTGTCTGAATATACACTCAAAATAAAAAAAATAATAAGTCAAAGAAAATACACCCAAAGGCATAAAGAAATTACCACTGGGATATGAAATTGTGTTTTTAATTTTATTCTGTGTACTCTTTTTTACTTCTTAATGTGTGTTTAATAAATATTCAGTATGACTTAAGGGAAGGACAAAAGTAGAAAAGGAGCTGGAGAAGAGATGAGGGGGGAGAAATAGGTCGCAGGAAAATGATGTTCATTGACGAGGATTCTTGCAGCTGTGTGGATCATTTCTTAAACTACAAACCAGGAGCAACCATGTTGAAAATTCTACATCTTTGCTTCAGTGTTTTGTAAAGCGATCCTTTATTATTTTCTACTTTTACTCCCTGAAAGATTTTTACTGTTGAATTTTTACTGTGTATGTGGTGGCTCTTCCGGTATCTCCCATTGGCATTACTTCCAAAACACTGGTTGAGGCAACTGTCAAGCATAATATTGGTAACGTAGATTCTTTCTTTTTGCATCAACATTTTCTTTTGGGCCTTGCTAAGTATCAGTAAGGCTAACATTTTTCTTTTACTCCTTTTATAAGCATGAATCATTCTCTTTATCCCAAATTCAAAGTACTGCCAAATCCTATAACTTATTATTAAAATAGAATCAGAGGTGATACTGCTGGAAGGGATCTTGACATAATTTGGCTCATTTCTTCCTCTATTCCTCTGCTCCCCAATCAGGTTTAACGGGGAGAATGACTGAATCCCTTAGCACACTGCTTTCAGACTTGCATGTGCATTTGAATTCTTCATGGATCTTGTTAAAATACAGATTAATAAATTGACTTAGTAAGTTTTGGTTGAGACCCAAGATTCTATATTTCTAAGCAGTGTCTCCCAGGTGATGCTGGTATAGCTATTCCCTTGCTTTTCTTTTTACTCTGTATAGTTTAATAACTAATTATGTGGTTATATGTGATAACTGCTCTAGTGGCCTTACAGACCTGTAAGCACTTTATTTATTCTATGTATTTTTTTTCACTTGATATGATTTCAACTTCTTCTTTGGGTTCCATAGTAATCTTTATGTCTCAGATGCTTAATAAATGCTGGCTTCTGAATTAATTGATGGTCAAGAAAATTTTCCGTTTTGTCTACTAACATCTAATGTTTTAAACCTATTTCTGAAAAAGTGAAACATTCCATTGTTAAACACATTTTAGGTGGTTGTGCCCATCTCACCTGCAATATTTATATTAAAATAGCCTGGATTTCCCTGATTTCCCCTCCTCCCTGGTTGTTAGTCACAAAAATAAAACTAGAATTTATCTGTAAATAAATAAATAAATAAAATATTCAGTATGACTTTAATAATAGTAATTTACAGACTTTTTAATTAAACATATATAGGACCAATAGAGCTTAAAATGAATAATGCATTCAAGTTGCAAAAGCCCCACCATCTAAAACCACCCTGACTAAAACTTCTACTTTGTAATTCTTATTCTCACAGACCCTTCCAAATCACACGTCTTCCACGGAGCAATCATACACTTTTACTGAACTACAGCCAGGCTCAGCTATCAGTAAAAATACTCTGACCTCAAAAGAGTTCTACGATATCTGCATCGGAAATGTCTGCCTAGTGAATTCATCAATCAAGATTCTGTTTTCAGTTCCCATCGTGAAAATAATCATAGATACCGCAATGAGAGAAGGCTAGGTATGAAGATGGAAAAGGAAAGAGTCTGGCATTCCCGGTAGAGTAAATAGCATGAGAAGATGCAGGACAGCATAAGACATGTATGGGAACCTCGAGTTGTACAATTTTGCTGTTACCTAACATCGTGTGGAAATGATGCCTCCAAGTAGGGTGATCATTGAAGTTTCTGCAAAGTCTGTCAGGAAGGATGCTCACCTTTATTAGGGTGTCTCATTGCTTCTTCATTACCTTGACCCTTACACTCAAGCATTGACCCCACTGACGTTCAGCTCTTGTAAGACAGGAACAACCTAGTTTTCTTGGTATCCCTGATAGGTAATAGGTATTTTAAATGCCTGATGAATGGAAGAACTCTTCCAAAACAACCTTCCAACTACGTGTTCTACCGTTATCCTCTCCTCCTGAATCCATCCTCTCCATTCCACCAAGGTTATCTTTCTCAAACATAGATTTCCTCAGATCCGCCTCCCTTCATAAAACTTCTCTTGGCACACCCTTTCCTACAGGATAAAGCCCAGATTTCTCATTCTGGCACACAAACCACTTCATAACTCTATCTTCACCCTTTTCCATGTGTCACAGTAGTGCTTCTAGTTCCCCAACCATATTATGTGCTTAGATCATTCCATGACTTTGAGCGCTAGTCTCCCCATTATGTATCTGGAAAACTCATTCTTCAAAATGTAGCTCAATTTCTCCTCCTTTTTTGTTTTACAAGTAATTAACCTGCGACAGCACCAACTGTTGTCATTTCTGCACTACCATATTATAATCTCCATTTTCTAACTCATACCCTCGACTGGTAACTGCCTAGGCAAACACCTATTCTCTTGCAATACTGAGAATAAGCCAAGAGCAGCAATCAAGCAGCAATCTTATATTATTATTGTATTCCAAGTGCCTGNAACTGAACCATTGCAACCTGGAAAGAGAAGGTATATTTGTTTTTATACATATGTAGGCTTCCATTGGGCCAGTGAGCACACACAAGAACATATTACCTACCATTTTAATTTCTCACTTAACCCAGCCCACAATTTCCTTGGTTTCAAATTCCACACACATTACATACCAAATCTGGTGACACATTAAATAGCATTTTTTCCCTAAGCACCTTTTAGAAAGTACTCTATTTAGAAAAATCTCTCCCTAATGCCTGTAGGCCTATGTCACCTCATTTGACAGATGGAAACATGACAGCCTAGGCCTGGTAACTTGACAAAAGTCAGAGAAATAGAGTTGAATTCTTAGCAAGGATTTCCTTACGGAGCAAACCTATGAAGTAATTACTAGTATGCTCTCATTCTACAGATGACATAACGGAGGCACCAAAGCCGAGTGACTTGCACAACAAGATCACAAGACTAGCACTGGCAGAACCAACAGCTGAAGCCAGGTATATTCTCCTTCAAAATCCATGTTCTTATCTACTGCAACATACACCTTCCTGGCTTCCTTTCCCACCATTTGCTTTTATTCCTGTGGAACTTCGGGGCCATTTTTAATTCATGGGTTTTGCTTGTTTTCCTGAACTATGATGCGGGGAGTAAGCAGATCATCTTCTGAGGGATTTCTTTGATTTTGTGAGCCGCAACTGCTACCAGTTTATCAAGGTCTACTGCACGTATTGCCACCCTTAGGAAGCCTCCTCTGATGCCTCTATTTACAACAAAACAAATTTCTCCCTCTCTGAAATGCCTCTGCAACTTTATGTATTCTGCTCTTCTGGTACCCTTTATATCCAAAGTTTCCCAGCCATTCCTCCAAAATATATTCCAAATCTGTTAATCTTAGTGCTTCTCTGCTACCACCCTAGCCCACGCTTCCATCATCTCTCTCATGGACCATGAGACCAGTGCCCTAATTGGTTTCGCTACTTCCACGCTTGCCCTTATTAATATTTGCTCTCCACAAAGCAGTCAGAATAATCTTTTTTGAAAAGCATATCGGATCTTGTCTCTTCTCTCCGTACTTTCCACTGGCTTTCCGTTGCATTTATGACGACACCCAATCCTTCAATGGTCCATAAGACTCAAGATAGTCTGGCTTTTGCCTACTTCTTCCACCTCCTCTCTGGCGCCCCAACCCCAACCCCCACATGTTCACTCGCTATATTCCAGCTACAAGTTTGAGCATCTGAAGCTGTAGAATGGGTTCTCATCATAGGTCCTTTGTCCTCACTAATGCCTTGTCTGGAATGTCTCCTGTCACATCTTCTCTAGGTCATTTACATCTCAGTTCAAAAGCCACCTCCTCAAAGAGGCCCTCATGGAGCAGACAATTTAAAATCACTGCCCCCTTCCCCCNTACTTGGTTGGCTGGGAAACCAGGGCGTCTTTATGAAGTCGGTAACAAGGATACACATTGAAGGTACCAGGCTCCATAGAAACCCCTTCCACCGATGAAAAATCCTTTTCAACCAAACCAAACATTTCCATCATCTTAAATCCTAAAAAAAAAAACAAAAACAAGAAAAAAACCAAGGAGATAGAGAAAAAGATGAAACAGGCATTTTAGGATTTTTAAACTTCAAGATTAGTCTACTAAGGATTAAAAGAAAAATCTGGACCCCGAATGGGTGCTATCTAATATATTTGTATTTGAAAAACTTGTGATAAAGCATACCAGCAAGATCTATGCCATTCTTCTGCACCAGTGGGCAGGCTGAAAAACAAAACACACAAGATAAAACCCTAATTTAGATAGCTCCCAAATGTATTCTTTCCCTGTCCTGAGAACAGGAAGCTAACATAATCTTTCTGGAAGTCAACTGGGAAGGGATTTCAAACCAGATGTGGCTATGGTTTTCTGTCGATCCTAGAGATTGAAATGCTTTTACTTCTATTAAAACCAAAGGGCCACAGCTTCCTTCTCCTCTCCTGGGTCCATTAAAATCCATGGTGGTCACTTAAGAGCATGTGTTGGGACAAGTCTCACTTCTAACGTGTTACCCTGAGGAGCCATCTTAATACATTTTTTGCAAACTATGTGCTACAGCTGTTTAAGCAGAATTGCTTTTAAACACAGACTCTCATCTCATTCAGGAAAGTCTTAATCAACCTCAAACTCTAAACCCGGGAGAGGGGAGGGTGACTTCAAATGCCCCCCACCTCATAAAACTTAATATCTGCATAACCAACAGCTCTGAGACACAATCTTCTTTCCTCAGATCTAATGGGACTCATCAGTTAACTGGTACAAAATAGGTCAGCCTTTAAGCAATGGGAGGAAGTGCTCATTTCAAAGAACTCACTTGCTGATGCAGTTTCACAGACAAAAGTAATCAACTCATCTTCGATTTTCTTAAAGGCGTCGAAATCATCCACAAAGAAGACATGGCGGGCGCTGGGCTTGCTGCCGATGTTAACCAATTCTGAGTAGTCTGCGTCGGCCACACCGATTGCAAAAATGCTGTAGCCTGTGGCAGAAAGGAAACAGATATCTGATTACTTTAAGTTGCACAAGATACAAATAATGCCATATAAGACACATTCAAATGTTTCCAATATGTTTATGAAGGAGTACAAATGGGGGTGGGTAATTCATCCTTCACACTTCATTCNTAACTGTCTTGAAAGGGTCTAAGCTGGTACGAATAAGTATTTCTGGGAAGGAAGACTGGAAAAAGAGGGAGGTTGACAATGCACTTTACAACCAATGTTGTATTATTATGAATATACATCACTTTTATCTTGTAAAGGCAATTTTTTTAAGCTAAAAACTTTCACAAGTAAAAAGAAAATCAGAAATCTTAATACTAAAACTAGGATCACAAAACATTCTTGAAACACCAAAAATGCTTCTAATTCAAAAGCCAGATTCATTATCTTAACATTTGCGGAAGTAAGATTTGTGCAACTTCTTTAACATGGAAAATTGAGGCATATCCTAAGTTCAGTCAATACACAAATCCAGAACCAAATCAATGAGAGGCTGTGGCAGGCAGATCGATATGTTTGGGCAGAACATTTGGTCAAAGAACCCCTTGGGTAAGAAGAACAATAAACTGGTGACACATGTTCATATTCCCTACGTGGCATCCAGATGGCCCCTGTCTTCAGTATGTGAGGGGCTGTTGCACAGAAGAAAGCTCAGTCTTGATCTGCATTGCCTCAAAAGGTTGAACTAGAGCCAGTAGAAGCTGCAAAAAGGCAGATGTCTTCAACATAAGGAAAGTATTTACATCAAACAGAGCTATCCAGATTAACCCTGAATTGGTAGTTAACAGTTGTAAGGTGAAGGGAAGGAAAGTAGACCAGAGATCGCAAACTCACATGTTTTCAGAGGTCAGGCAAGTAATGAATTTGAACACAGAACTAACCTAAACATTACGCAGTAGCTCACTCGAGAGCACGCAGTGTCTAAAACAGACAGCAGTTATTTAGTCCAGCAGATTGGCATCCTGAGGATATGTGTGCCCTGTGTTGTCAGAGCTTTTGAATTTTCAAAACACTTCAAAACTTAGAAAATTAAAAAAATATATATATGGCCCAGAGAAAACATATCCAACCCCATGTCACTTTGTGACTTGCAAGTGATGACAAAAAGTAATTGTTCAATACAATACAAATTGAAAAGTTGTTCAACAGATTCTCTTTGACTGGATCTTACCACCACCACTGGTGCTAAGAGAGTAGGCATTTCATTTTACTGATAAACAAAAAGAAGCTCAGAAATGCTGAATTACCCAAGGCGACAGTGCTAGAAAGGGCCCCCCACTGAGCCCATTTGACTCAAACTTGTGCACTACTAGGCCTCTAATAACTTTAAAATTATATGATCTTCTATCCATAAAATAGAATTCTAATCAGCAATAAAAAGAAACAAGCTGCTAATACATTCCACAACATGAATAAACCTCAGAAACATCTGCTAAGTGAAAGATGCCATATGCAAAAGATCACACATTACATGATTCCATTTGTATGAAATGTCCAGAAAAGGCAAATGCATAAGAAAAAATAGTAAATTCCCTGGGGCTGAAGGTGGGACAGGGGATTGACAACTGCGAACAGACA